TGTCTCTGTATGCTGGTTTGTGTTCTCCAACACAACTCTCATAATGCTTCGCTGAACGTACTCACTCTCCCAACGGGGAGCTTACCTAACAGTAAGTCTAAGGACTATTGCTATTAAAGAAAAGATGGGACCAAAATCCTTGGCTCCCCACCCACGACAGCTCCAATCAATCCAACTCAAAAGTTATAATGAGAATATCAGTTTGCGACTCCAAACTTTGGGACGAGCCGAGATCTCAACCAGCCTTTACCTCCATGGGGTTAACCGTGATGGTCAAGGCAGAGTCGTCCCAGTCCATCTCGTTCTCCTTCCCAGAGTCCTGGTCCCGCATTGTCCGCTGATGGGCCGCTCGGATCCGGAAGACTCCAAGGATGATCATGAAAACCAGGAAGCTGACGCACACCACAATCACCACCGTGGCTGTACTGGGAACCACTGGGGAACAGCGTGTTCAGAAGAGGAAGGGAGTTAGGTGTGAAGGGAAGGCAGGAGGCACAGAAATGCATTCATTTTTTTCCGCTGTTCTGGGCGGCGGGAATTTGGGGCAACTGATCTGGGGGAACAGAATCTGCGGGGATGTAAGCGGAGAAGCAGAATGGGCTAACTCCTATACCAGGGATCTACTGTATTTCCCCCAAAATAAGGCCTAACTGGAAACTAAGCCCTGAACTTTGTCTGTTACTTCCTTCCCCTCAGTCTGTGTCATAAATCACATTCCCCAATGAGTTGCACCCCTCCCAAGCCTGCTCCAGTAATCTGAGACCCAACTTTAGCTGAAAGTATGCGTGGAATGCTCTCCCTCGCCTTCTCTCACTATGGCAATGTTGACACCCTGGTTTAATGGCATCTCAACAGCTGCTTCTTCAAAAACTGGGGAGCTGTTGGAAATGGCAACGGGGAGATTTAAGGAAGGGATGTGGTCCTTACCGGAAAACCCTGGGTGAGGGTTTGCGAGGTTGTGGCCAGAGAGGTCAACGAAGGAATGATGGACAGGCTGCACAAACTGTGGCTGCTGGGCAGCAATATGGCTGGCGTGTTCCATGACGTTAGCGGTGTGGATGACATTCACCTGGCACATACAACATTAGAGAAAGGGGAACACAAGAGTTTTAGGAAATCAGCCGCAGAAACCCGGTGTATGCCTGTTTGTGTGTGTGCCTTGTTAACTAGTCTATACTTCCCGACCTGAGGGTCCTCTTCCCCAAATTCCCCCATCTGCAGGACGATTGTTCTTTTCTTCTGGCAGCTCTGCGCATGCGCACACTGGGAACAGGTTCCAGCTATTCCTCTGCCTCACTGCTGTCGAGTTCTGTAGGCACGTGATCACGGCAAAACGGCCTTGGCTCCATCTCTGCCTCCGACGCAAAGACCACCTCAGAGCCTTCCCCAGCCGCCAGGACCCTCCCCAACCTCCTCACTGTCCCACTATGCTGCCAGATCCACTGGCTGCTGACGGGCCACAACAGCCCCCGTCTTATGCCCAGGGCACTCGAGGGTGGTCATTTTAAACGCCTCCTTCACAGGATTAACTGATGGTTTCTCCTCTTGCGTTCATCTCCTGTACTCTTTCCATTAATGACAAATCTACTTCTGTCCCATCGATAGAAGGTCACAATACATCCAACGAGGATTCCCAAACCCAAAAGTCCTATCGGAAGAGGAAACTCCTTCACTTACTTCCACCTTAAATTCATTGCTAACGTAGCGTCCGTTGAGCTCCGAGCACACCAGCTTGAATTTCCGGTCAAAGAGCGAGACGGCGTACCAGTTACGGTATCGGATCAAGTGCAAAACTTCCTCGTAGCTGGCCATGGTGTCCACCCCTGGGGAGAACAGACACGGGTCAGCTAAAAAAATCAATGCTGGTTAGGAGGCCGTGTTTTGTCAAAATCCGGTTGTGGCAGATTGCAAGCCACGATTTAGGATGTAGAAGAGGGATGGCGAGCCTTTTCGACACCTGAGTGCCCAAACCGGAACGCATGAGTGTGTGCCGGAGCCCCGGAAATTCGAAGACCAGCTGATAGGTGCACCTGCGCGCGTCAGCCAGCTGGTTCTTCTGGTTTCTGGCCAGCTGGTCTTTGCGCACGCCGGAGCACGGGAAACCCGAAGATCAGGTGGCCGTTGCATGCAGGCACACTGGCCAGATGGTCTTTGGGTTTTCAGGGCTACAGAAACCAGAAGAGCAGCTGGCAACGGCACGTGTGTCCACACAGAGGGCTCTGTGTGCCACCTCTGGCACATGCGCCGTAGGCTCCCCATCACGGAGCTAGAATGTCCTGGAAAGATAGCTGTGGCTTAGTGCAACGTGTAAACCTTCTCCAAGGGTTGAAGGGAGAGGGGGAGCCGTACCAGTAAGGATGAGGCCGAGGCTTGAGCTGCTCATTTCCATTCCTTTCTGTTGCAGCCGTACCAGGTCGACCTCCAGACTCTCTTGGTCCCTGTTCAGTTCCTCCCCCAAGACCGAGACCTCACAGGTATCCAAATTATGCATGATTTCTTCCGACACCAAGGATTCTTGGACTGGAAAGGAGAAGGAAGGGGGAAAATGATCAGGAAGGAGGAAATAAGAAATGGCTTTTAGGTTTCCACCAGTGGTGGGATTCAATTTTTTTTTTTTTACTACCCGTTCTGTGGGCGTGGCAGGGGAAGGATACCAGAGGTGGTATTTACCAGTTGTTCGAGCTACCATATTTTCCAGAGTATGAGACGCACCAAGGTTTTGAAGAGGCAATTTTTTTAAAAAAAAGTTTTTGCACTCTGAAGACCTCCTGAAAACAGCCCGTTTTTTGTGAAAATGGGCCCATTTTTTATCAAAAAAAATTGTATGAATAGCCTTTAAGAGGCTTACAGAGTGCTCCTAAGGGCTTGGGGGGGGGGCAAAATTCAGCAAAAAACGGCCTGTTTTTCACTCATTTCTGCCTTCCCCAGCCCCCAGGAGCTCTCTGTAAACCTCCATAAGGCTCTGCATGGCCATTTTGGTGAAGGGGGTGGGGTTTCAGGAGGCCAAAAATGCTGTATTCAGTGTATAAGACGCACCCAGATTTTCAGTCTCTTTTTTGAGGGGAAAAAGGTGCATCTTATACTCTGAAAAATACGGTACTCATAATTTCCACTACCGGTTCACCAGAACCCATCCTAACCAGCTGAATACCAGCTGATCATCAAGTTGTTTCCCTGACTGGAATCTTTACCCTATAAAATCTGGGCTGCATGCGATGGTTGCTGGATGTTTTTCTCTGTTCATCGATCTTGTCCCGACTGCCAAATACGCAACATTTTTAAATATTTATTTGTAACCCGCATTTATTGCTTGGACAAATTAGGTAGCAAACTTATCCAACACGTGTTCCTCTTCCTATTTTCTTCCACCATAACCCCCCTGTGAGATGGGCTGGGTTGAGAGAGAGAAGGACTAGCCCAAAGTCACTCAAGTTGGCTTTCATGGCTAAAGCAGGACCTGAACTCAAGAGTTTCCCGCTTTCTAGTCTGGTGCCTTGACCACCAGATCTTCCTTTCCTTTCTTTTTACCCTTCCTTTCCCTTCCTTTCCCTTCCGTCCTTTCTTTTTCTCTTCTTTCTTTTTCTTCCCTTCCTTTCCCTTTCTTTTCCCTTTTTTTTCTTCCCTTCCTTCTTTCTTTTCTATTTCTTTCTTTCTTTTCTTCCCCTCCCTTCCTTTTTCTTTCTTTTTCTCTTTCTTTTTCTTTCTTCCCTTCCTTTCCGTTCGTTTCTTTTTCTTCCCTTCCTTTCCCTTCCTTTTCCCTTTCTTTTTTTCTTCCCTTCCTTCTTTCTTTTCTCTTTCTTTTTTTCCTTCCTTTCCCTTTCCTTTCATTTTCTTTCTTTTTTTCTTCCCATCCCTTCCTTCTTTGTTCTTTTCTCTTTCTTTCTTTCCTTCCTTTCTCTTTCCCTTCCTTCCTTCCTTCCTCTCTCTCTCTCTCTCTCCCCTTCCCTTCCTCTATTTCATTAACCGCCCATCTCCCTCAAACATTGCTGAATCTGACCCCGCATCCACTCACCCCTGATTTTCAGGGCAGAATAAAAAGAGACACCCCCAAAAATAAAGCTCAGCCAAAAACATTCCCAAAATTAACTTCCACTTCCATTTTTATGGAGAAGACGCCGCTTTGCTCCGTTCAGGAGAAAAGTGGTTGCTTGAGAATAGAACAGAGCTCCGGGCAGCCTTTCCCTTCCTCTTCCGTCCCTGTGTCTCACCTGTAGGGTCCTCCTCCCCCTCTCCCTCGGGCTCCACCTCCCGTGTGATGGTGCTGATGATCCGAAGCTCAGGGAAGAGGGACACGCCCTCAGGGCTCTCAAACTCCGAAGCCGAACGGGCAAAGTGGTTGATGCCGCTCAGGCTGATTTTGGGCTCCTCGGGTTGCAAGACCATGATGTAACCCTCCACGAGCGGAATGGCAATGCAGGCTTCGTTGTCGGCACACCTGGGGAGGTAAGGCGTCGTTGGCCATCAGCAGGTGATGGGTTTCCATGAGAGAGTACAGGCAGACCTTGGGTCTCTCTAACACTAGACCAGTGTTTCTCAACCTTGGTAACTTTAATTTAGTATCTATGACTATCACTGAATGTTGTACCTTACGATGTTTGATGGTCATATTTTATGATTATGATCATGATTGATCACTTGTTGCATGTATGTACACTGAGAATTATACTGGCGACAATTTCCTTGTGTGTGTCCACTTCACCAATAAAGAATTCTATTTAATTCTATTTAATTCTATTCCATTCCATTTTTTCTATTCTATTCCATTCCATTCCATTTTTTCTATTCTTAATCCTATTCCTAATTCTATTCCATTCCATTTTTCTATTCTTATTCCTTTTCTAATCTATTCTATTCTATTTTTTCTTTTTTCTATTCTATTCTATTATTCCTATTCTATTCTATTCCATTCCATTTTTCTATTATTCCTATTCCTATTCTATTCTATTGTTTTCTATTCCATTTCATTTTTTCTATTCTTATTCCTTTTCTATTCTATTCTTTTCTTTTCTATTCTTATTCCATTCCATTCCATTTTTTTTATTCTTATACCTATTCTATTCTATTTTTTCTTTTCTTTTCTATTATTCTATTCTATTCCATTCCATTCCATTTTTTCTATTCTTATTCCTATTCTATTCTATTCTATTCCTGTTTCTGTTTTCTGTTCTAATCTATTCTGTTGTTCTGTTCTACTATATATTACTGTTCTGTTCTAATTCTAATTCTTATTACATTCCTATTTCTATGAGCCACAGTGTCGCAGTGGTTAGAGTGCAGTACTGCAGGCTACTTCTGCTGCCTGCAGGCTGCCTGACATTTGACAGTTCGAATCTCACCAGGCTCAAGGTTGACTCAGCCTTCCATCCTTCCAAGATGAGTAAAATGAGGACCCAAATTGTTGGGGGGCAATAGGCTGACTCTATAAACCACTTAGAGAGGGCTGTAAAGCACTGTAGAGTGGTATATAAGTTCTATTGCTATTCTATTCTGCATTCTATTCTATTTTCTACCATACCCTAAACCTCCAGTCAGATTCTTCTCAAATCTTAACAGCCCCACTCTAAAAGGCTAGAACGAAGCCACAAGGCAAACGTCGTGACCCAGAATAACCGAACACCCCCCTGAGTCAAACCCCTGTTTGCGTCTCTTCTTCTCTGCCCGCCGCAAGGACTCACTTCACCGTGCTTGTGATTTTGATCCGCCGGATGCCGGGGGTGGGGAACTGGCGGGAGTTCATGTACGAGATGCGTTGCATGGTTTTGTCGAACCTCTCGAGGTCGTCCCCTTCCAAGCTCAAGGCTGACTGGCTGGGATTCATGTGGATCTGAAATGAGGGCAAGAGAAGTTGTAGGTTGCGAGAAAGGTAGCCCATCAGGGAAGAAAAGCTTTCTGGTCAATCAAGCCACCCGGAGTGTAATAATCCTGTATGTAATAACAATGTAATAATTATTACATTATTGTCTAATGTAATAATAATGTAAATAATAGGTAGAATAATGGAAGATGAAAAAGCCTGCTGGAATTTGTCTGTTCTTCTCTTAGATCAAGGGTGTTAACACTCAAGGCCTGGGCGCCAGATCCGGCCCGCGATGTGGTTAGATCTAGCCCACAAGGCTGCTTGAAAAGAGCCAAGGACCGGTTCTCGGCGCCTCAGCCCTAGCCCAGGTTGGCTGGACACCGATCTAAAACTTGGTGGCCATCTGTCAGTCCTCAGATGGAGTCAAGAGCCCCTAGGTTTGGAGGTGGCTGATGGGGGAGAGGAGGAACAGCTGGGTCTAGTGCCTGACATGCGGATGCGCAGAAGGCAGAGGAGAGGGGAGCTGTGGAAATCTATGGGCTGATCCTTGGGACGGAAGAGCCACCATTGCTAGCAAAGCCCCATCCTAGCTCTGCGGTTGCACAGAAGGCAGAGGAGAGGAGAGCAGTGGAAATCTATGGGCTGGTCCTTGGGATGGAAGAGCCACCGTTGCTAGCGAAGCCCCACCCTAGCTCTGTGGATGCCCAGAAGGCAGAGGAGAGGAGAGCAGTGGAAATCTATGGGCTGGTCCTTGGGACGAAAGAGCCATCACTGCTAGCGAAGCCCCACCCTAGCTCTGTGGTTGCACAGAAGGCAGAGGAGAGAAGAACAATGAAAATCTATGGGCTGGTCCTTGGGACAGAAGAGCCACCGCTGCTAGCGAAGCCCCACCCTAGCTCTGGGGATAAAAAGCAGGAGGTGGTGATGAATAGATGTGGCAGACAACTATTCATCTTCCAGCCGGCGGGACCGCCAGCATTCCTAATAAAGGAATCTTTTGAATTCACATCCGGAGGTTTGTTGTGTTTGGGGAGCTGGGTCAGGACAGTACCTTGAGGCCCTTTGCAGTGCCGTCCGTGGTGGGCAGGTCCAGGCCTTCCTTGCAGGTATACAGACAATCAATCACTTTCTTGCTTTCCAGTTTGCCCGAGCGGATGGTCAAGCCGGCCAGGTTGCCGCGGAAGAACTGAGCCATCCGCTGGTCGCCACCTTGAGGAAGGAATGGAAAAGCAACCGTATTTAGTCCTGGCACTCGGCGGCCTCTCTGGCCCGGTTCCACTCGCGCACTGTGCTCGGCTTTGCTTTCCGACGGCATGCAGTTAGTGAGTTGCCCGTTCCGGAGGTCGACTCGCAGTTATGCTCAAGCGTGATGGGGGAGGGAACGGAAAATAAAACGGATGCTCGTTTCATGCAGCAAGGGGCAGGGATGGGATGAGCGAGCTTTGTTGAGGAATCAAGGGGACTTTAAAAGGACACCTGTCCGGCGGCCTTTATTTTAAGACAGCTTGTGTAAAACAGGTGACTGCAACCAGTGGAAAGGGAGGCCTTCCCCACTCCCAAGAATCACAGGTCCAGGATGAAGACTGCAGTGAAAGCCAGGATTGGGGGGGGGGGGGAAGAGACCTGATGTGGACTGCTACATTTCCATGCTGTAATCAATTCTGGAAATCCAGTCCTTGCAAGGGTTTCACTGAACTATTCCTGGAAGTCATCTAAATCACTCTAGACCAGCATTTCTCAACTGTAGCCACTTTAAGAGGTGTGGACTCCCAGAATTCCCCTTAGCCAGCTAAATTCCCAAGGTTGAAAAACTGATGAAGCCTAGTAAAATCTATCAAAATTGGAACTCTTCCTGTTCTATAGTTCTCTATAATCCCCACTGATAAAAATCCACACGTAAAGGAAATACTTTTTGAAACAAATACTTTTGTATGCAAACACCATGCATACAAACAACAAGACAGGGTCTTATTTTCTCCCCCCCCCAAAAAAAAAATAAGCACTTGGCCTTATTTTC